CTCTACAGTCCCATTAGTCAAAAGTGTTAACAAGGGCTCAACTGTACCTTAATTCTGATTATTTCCACAGTTCTGAGGAATGTGTTATCCGGCTTTATTTTACTTCTCTCTTTTTCCTTCCTCCATCAAAATCCTCAACTTACAACTGTTTGGTGACCATTTAAAGCAGGGGTCTTTTAAGTTGGCCCTTTTATGACTTGTGGACTTCAACTCCCAGAATTCCTCAGCCAGGCACGTGTGCCTGGCTAAGGAATTCTGGGAGTTAAGTCCACAAGTCAAAAGGGCCAAGTTTGAAGACCCCTGTCTTAAATCTAACATACAAAATGGAGGCTGGCTGAGGATTTCTGGGAGTTGAAGTCCACAAGACATACAAGGGCCAACTTGGAAGACCCCTGATTTAAAATTTCAAGGGGATTGAAAAAAGGACCCTGGTCATCACATGGGTGACCGTTGCAGCATACCCAAGGTCATGATCCAAATTTGGGTATCTGGTAACTGGCATCTATTTAGGATGGCTGCATGTGATCGCCACTGGTGAGCTTCTGAACCGGCTCCTGTCAACCAAAATCAATGGAAGGAGCTGTAACTTCTGGACTAGTGTTGGCTATTCCTGCCAGCTTGGTGTCATCTGCAAATCTGATGATTTTCCCATCTATCCCCTCGTCCAAATCGTTGATGAAGATGTTGAAGCCCTGGGCCCAGAACAGAGCCCTGGGGCACCCCACTACACACTTCCCTCCATGGAGATGCGGTTCCATTGAGAACCCCACACTGAGTACGGCCGGTCAGCCAGCTACGGATCCATCTGGTGCTGATGCTGCCTAACGTACATACATATACATACATACATACATACATACACATACATACATATACATACATACACATACATACATGTATAATATATATACATACATATATAACCCAAAGCCACACCGATGATGAGGCACGATCACAAACCAGAAGCCAGACCACAGCTGCATCATTAGCCACTTTAAACCCCTCCAATACATACATGAAGCAAACTGACACCCTCCATGAAGATGAGGCACGACCATGAACGCGAAGCCAAAAAATAGCAAGGCAGCCCAACATCTTAAACCCCCCTGCAACCCAGACTAACCTGAGCACAACCAAACAGAACACTCCCCCAGCCAATCAGAGCACAGCCAACCCCCCAGCGAATCAGAGCACAGCCAAGCCCCTAACCAATCAGAACACACCTCCACCCAATCAGAACACAGCCAAGCCCCCACCCAATCAGTTCATACCCCCACTGGCAGTTAAGAGGAAGAAACAGCTAAGACCACACATTGCTCCTCGAAGCACGAAGCTGAAAACACCAGCCTGAAGATGACGAATGGGACTTCGCCGAAACGTCGCCAAGACACCTCCAATTTTACGCGGGAGAAAACCCGAACAACCAAAGACCTACATATATACATACATACACACACACACACACACACACACACACACAGAGTTACAAAAGCATTGAAAAAAGTGACTTATAACTGTTTTTCACACTTACTATTGTAGCATTCCTGATGTCATATGATCAAAATTTTAACATTTGGTATATACATACACATACTCACATACACACACACAAATACACACACACATATACACACATACACACATACATATATACACATATACATACACATATATACATACATATATATAGCTTGAAGCTGAAAGCACCAGCCTGAAGATGACGAATGGGACTTCGTCGAAACGTCGCCAAGACACTTCCAATTTTACGCGGGAGAAAACCCGAACAACCAAAGACCTACATACAAACACCCGCGAAAACCTCAGAAAACAAAACACACACACACACACACACATGCACGCGTGCACACACACACACACACACACACACACACACACATATGGGGCAAAATTCACTTAACAAATGTCTCAGTTAACACCAGAAATGCTGGGCTCAATTGTGGCCATAAATCCAGGACTACCTGTAATTTACTTATCAACTTTAGAAATTGCCCCTCTCCCACAGAGGGACTCTGGGTGGTGTAGAAATACAATATCGCAATGTAACACGGTATATAAAATTTAAATAAGAGCAACACGTCCAAATGATAATTTGAAACAAACAAAAACCCCAGCTATGCTTCCATAACACACTTCTATGACTTAACAGGCAGGCTCCCTACGTACACAAACTGAGCCCAGATTATTTAACTTGATTAAACTCTGAAAGTTGTGCATATTATGTAACAACTGTGCAACAAGCCTGGGACTCAAATATATACTAAGGGCCCAGTTTCTTAGCTAACTATCTCGGCTGCTGTACAGTGTGTATATACATGATATATTTTTTTTATTTTTACTAATTGCTTTAACTGTTTTATAATATTGGAATTATAAGCCACCCAAGGTCATCTGACAGAGAACGGTGGCTATAGAAATTGAATAAATAAATAAAGGGACAACAGCTTCAACAGTGAGAAACGTAACAACACAAGGCTCCCATAAAATAATTTCAGTAGCTCACTATGCAAAGACATCAGATGTTTTAAGCAGGTTTCCAAATCAGTTGGCTGGAAATTATCCTAGTATAGCCAGTATCCAGTCAGCTAACACAGCAAACTCAAATAAAGGAAATTCGCTGGATCCAGGGTTTGCATTCAAGCTTGTTTTTAACATGCCTGTCAGTTTGGTTCACAAATTATCCAAAGTTCTAAACCATGGTTTCCAACTACGACATCTGAGTCTGTACATTTGGCTAACATATTGAGGGAAGTTAGCCCAGAGAAAGAAATATTAAAAAGGGCAGAAAAATATATTTTTCCTCAAAAGGACTTTTTAAAACCAAACCTGGCCCCAAATCTATCTCTCTGCCCCAAGCAAGACTTTAACCCCATACAAATGCAGATGTAAAACCATCAGAAAGTTGGAGCCAGAGCAATCAAGAAGACAAAAGAGAAGATCTGCATACCCCCCCCAAACTCTAGGAGTCATTAGCCCCATCACCTGGGAAGCAGGATATGATAATAGGATTAAACCACAGATATCAAATCCTAGAAAAACACTCAGAAATATCCTCAAGGTTTATGCCACAGGAACAGGAAACCATTCCAAACAAGGCTAGAGGGGGTATAAAACCTACTAGCCATGTGCTCAATCTCTCTCTTTTTCCTCTCTGCTCCTTCCCGCAAGGACCATCTTTCTGCTTCTGCAATAAACTGTAACCTTCTTCCCAAAGCAGTCTCCATGTTGCCTATTTATTCCCGCTTGGATGAACCAGGATGAAGATTTACTTCTAACAATATAAACTGCTTAACATTTTAATGTACCGTATGGCTGAACAAATTAGGCTGAATAAATCATAATTAAGTAAACTATGGTTTAATACATTAAGCAAACATAGCGATGGCAGTGCCACGCTGCAAAAGTACAGCCCATCTAAACTATTCTAATTACCAGAATATTCTTAGAAAAAAAAAAAGAAAGATCAAGAAAGACTCTTTAACATGCTAATTATTTCCTTGTTCATTTGTGAAATAGTCACTTATAAATAGCAGCAGTATAGAAATAGTAATTTCAAAGTAATTTTTAAAAAACAAGGGCTTCCCTCCTGGTAGGGCTGATTTTTTTAAAAAAATTCTGTGCATTTTTTTAATCAAGAAAATATATATATATTTTCCTGAACTCTTAACAAACTCTGTCTGGATTCCAATTCCAAAGCCTTTCATTTTAAATGCCAAGCGCTGCAAAACTACAGGTGGGTCCTCGACTTACGGCAGTTCATTTAGTGATGGTTCAAAGTTACAAGGGTGCTGAAAATAGGGACTTAGGACGGTTTTTCACACTTAGGACCTCTGTAATCATGTGCTCAAAATTCAAAAGCGATTCCAATTTATGACCGTTACTTTGTCCCAAGGTCATGTGACCCCCTTTTGCGACCTTTGGACCAGCAAAATCAAGGGGGGAGGCCAGATTCACTTAACCACGTTACTAACTTATCAACTGCAGTGATTCGCTTAACAACCACATTACTAACTTATCAACTGCAGTGATTCACTTAACAACCACGTTACTAACTTATCAACTGCAGTGATTCGCTTAACAACCACATTACTAACTTATCAACTGCAGTGATTCACTTAACAACCACGTTACTAACTTATCAACTGCAGTGATTCACTTAACAGCCATGTTACTAACTTATCAACTGCAGTGATTCACTTAATGTTACTAAATTACCAACTGCAGTGATTCACTTAAAAGCCACATTATTAACTTATCAACTGCAGTGATTCACTTAACAACCACGTTACTATCTTATCAACTGCAGTGATTCACTTAACAACCACGTTACTAACTTATCAACTGCAGTGATTCACTTAACAGCCAAATTACTAACATCAACTGCAGTGATTCACTTAACAGCCACGTTACTAATTTCTCAACTGCAGTGATTCACTTAACAGCCACGTTACTAACTTATCAACTGCAGTGATTCACTTAACAACCGTGGCGACAACGGTCATAAAACGGGGCCAAACAACCAATGATTCACTTAACAGGCAAAGGCTCAACAGGTAAAGCTTTTCCCAGGCAGAGACGCTCGGGGAGCCATTTGGCCTTCACGGCTGGCCAAGGATATGTTGTTAGGCAATTACCCTGAGCATGTGCAGAGTGCCACTCAAAGCCACCCACCCACCCCCAGCTTCAGGGGCATGGGACTACAACTTCCATACTCCCCAGCCACGATACGGGGGGGGGATTTCCCTGGATTTGACGCTGTGGGAATTAGCACGGCTCCCCCACCCCCCCAATTGATGTTGGACTCCAAGGGCGAACCCCGGGATGGCTGTGGAGCATGGGAGCTGTAGCCCGCCCAAGCTTGGGAAAGCCGGACTAGGACACCGGAGAGAAAGCTTCCCATCGCCCACTCCCGACGGGCCGGGGGTCCTTCCATGGGTCCTCCCGGCGACGGGGGCATCGTCGGTCTCCCCCGCCCGCCTTACCTGCCGCGACGGATGAGGCCGAGTAGGCCGCGGCCTCCCTTGCTCTCGTCGCCTAGCAACGGCGGCTGGGCCGCTGCCCGACAGAGCCAGGGCCACGTGGCTTCTGGCGGCCAATGGGCGACGAGGTGGCGGGTCAGGTGACTTTGGGAGGTCCAGGATGGGGGGAAAAAATCCTCGTCTCCTAGCAACAGCGATGCTGGAAGGGAGGCGGGCCTGGAGCGATCCGTTTAGCTCCCCAACCGGGCGCCCTTCAGATAGTCTGGCTGCCTTCCTTCCATTATCCCCTGTGGATGGGATTGTTGCCCCCCCCACATTTCTGGAAGGGGAAACTGGGACCCACAATCCACTGAACCCATACAAAGCAAAGAGTTCCTACACACTGTTCCTCAACCTTGGAGACATTTAAGACAGTGGACTTCAACTCCCAGAAGTCCCCAGCCAGCCATGCTGGCTGGGGAATTCTGGGAATTGAGGTCCACTCTTCTTAAAGTTACCAAGATTGAGAAAATTAAGCTAGAGCAGGGGTCTTCAAACGTGGCCCTTTTATGACTTGTGGACTTCAACTCCCAGAATCCCTCAGCCAGGCATGCTGGCTGAGGAATTCTGGGAGTTGAAGTCCACAATTCATGAAGGGGCCATACTTCCCCATGCTGGCTCAGGAATTCTGGGAGTTGAAGTCCGCAAGTCATGAAGGGGCCATAGTTCCCCCATGCTGGCTCAGGAATTCTGGGAGTTGAAGTCCGCAAGTCATGAAGGGGCCATAGTTCCCCCATGCTGGCTCAGGAATTCTGGGAGTTGAAGTCCGCAAGTCATGAAGGGGCCATAGTTCCCCCATGCTGGCTCAGGAATTCTGGGAGTTGGAAGTCCACGAATCATGAAAAAGCCATAGTTCCCCCATGCTGGCTCAGGAATTCTGGGAGTTGAAGTCTGCAAGTCATAAAAGGGCCAAGTTTGAAGACCCCTGAACTAGAGGATGGAAATTTGTACTGTTATAAGAGTTAGGAATGTGATTGGAGCATCCTTTAGTTAATATTTGCATGCAAAAATATCTTATTTCCGCATTTGTTTAAAACAACAACACACAATCAAGGGTATGACTACTTTGCTTCACATTTGCATAGAAACACATCAACAGCCCAGTCACATCAAATCTTATGCTCCAGCAAGAACAATGGGAGATCAATTTAATATTTAACGTTTTCCTCCTTTCTCTTCATGACATTTATAAGCCACCAGAGTTGCTTGACAACAAGGTGGGAGGCATATACATTTAATAATAATAAATGAATGAAACTAATAAAAATTAATCTAACAAAAACATCTGGCTGACTGTGTGACCAACTATAAGTCTAACAAAACAATGTTTTAATCAATTTAATCAGAATAGAGCTGGAAGGGACCTTGGAGGTCTTCTAGTCCAACCCCTTGTTGAAGCAGCACACCCTATACCATTTCAGACAAGGGGCTGTCCAGTCTCTTCTTAAAAACCTCTGGTGATGAAGCACCTACAACTCCTGATGGTGTTCCATTGGTTAATTGTCCATTTTGAAACAATGGATGGAAACTAATCAAGCAATCAAGGGAACTAATCAAACTAAGGAAGGAGAGAAGCAATCTGAAATTAAAGAGAAACTTCCTAACAGTGAGAACAATTCACCAGTGGAACGACTTGCCTCCAGAAGTTGTGGGTGCTCCATCACTGGAGGTCTTTAAGAAGAGACTGGATAGCCACTAGTTTGAAATGGTATAGAAGTCTCCTGCAGAGGATTGGACTAGAAGACCTCCAAGGTTCCTTCCAGCTGTATTCTGAATTCTAAACGTATTTCAAAATTGACCAACAGCCGGGCAAGATTTGATGACATGGTTCGCACAGCTCACTTTAATGTGAGCAATTATAGCAACTGATTTTGGGGGATCGTGCTTTGCATCTGTTGGGGTGGTTACTCGCTGGTTGACCTGCTTTGTAAGGGATGACAGCAAGAGATGGAGGCCAGACCATCTGCCTGTCAGCCCAAGAATGCCCGTCCATTAAGGTGATGGACAAGACCCCAGTATGAAGTCACTTAGGAATGCTTTTAGAGCAGGGATGTTATTGATCAGATGAAGGTTTAGGATCCCTTGTAAGGTCTGATTGAACCACGTTACTATGACTCCTGAAAAGCACGTTGCTTTTTTTATTGATGGTTTCAGAGTGATGCATGCTCCTGGCAATATATATACATTTTCAAAATTGTATAAAAGGGGTGTGCCCCTTTGAGACTTGCTTCCGGGTATTATTTGTATTTTATTTTATTTTTATTTGTAAATACGTGTCTTATTCGTGGGCCCCTATTTGGCGTGGTTCATTGCAAGCCAGGTTCAAAAGATCTGAGCTTTCTGGGAAAGGGTTTGGCTGTGGTTTGTTTTCCCAGCGTGTTTTAACATAATTTCTGAACGTTTCACTACCAAACTAGGTAACCTCATGATGACGTTACCTAGTTTGGTAACGAAACTTTCAGAAATTATATTACAAGAAGCTGGGAGAACAAACCACAGCCAACATCTAAAACCAGAGCTTCAAGTATTTTCTATTATTTAAAAGAAAAAGGTGTCTTGAAATAGATACACATCTGAATTTTAAAAACACCCTTTTTTTTAAAACAAACAAACAAAGAAAGGGAACTTTTGAGAGATTTGTCAAAGTAGGAAGCCTGGAGAAGCCAACATTAGCAAACTGGTCCCTTCTTCGTCAGTGCAATTCTTCTTTTTTTGCTAATCCTCATTTGAGACACTTGGAACATCTGACTTGCTAATGGAGAGGATTTTTCAAATATTTCTGGAATGATTTAAGAAGTCTGATTCAATAGAATTTTCCCCTCTTGGCTAATCCACAAAGAACAGAAATAGGTATCTAAGTGTGTAAGGGTGCACTCTGCCAATCCAGAAAGATTCAAAGCGGATGTTGTCCTTTGACACGCACACACCATGCTTATTCCAGAAACAGCTGGTTTTCCTTGCAGACACCACAACCTACGCAATAATTTGGCTTTCTGGATTTTCTTGACCCCAAAAATGTTGCTCAGGACAGCGTTGGTTGAAATTTTAAAAAAGAAGCAATGTCCCTGTGATCATCATCTGTCTAGGTTGCATCAACAGAGGGATGGATCAAGATCACATGAAGTGTTAATACCACTTTTCAAGGCCTTGGTAAGGCTACACTTGGAATACTGCATCCAGTTTTGATCACCACAATGTAAAAAAGATGTTGAGACTCTAGAAAGAGTGCAGAGAACAACAAAAATGATCAGGGGACTGGAGGCTAAAAAATACAAGGAACGGTTGCTGGAATTGGGTATGTCTAGTTTAACGAAGAGAAGGACGAGTGGGGACAGGATAGCAGAGTTTCAATATCTCAGGGGCTGCCCCAAAGAAGAGAGAGTCAAGCTATTCTCCAAAGCCCCTGAAGGCAGGACTAGAAGCAATGGATGGAAACTGATCCAGAAGAGAAGCAACCTAGAACTAAGGAAAAATTTCCTGACAATGAGAACAATTAACCAGTGGAACTTTTTGCCTCCAGAAGCGGTGAATGCTCCAACACTGGAAGTTTTTAAGAAGAGACTGGACAGCCATTTGTCCAAAATGGTATAGGGTTTCCTGCCTGAGCAGGGGGTTGGACTAGATGACCTCCATGGTCCCTTCCAACTTTATTATTTATTATTTTTGTTGCTGTTGTTGTTATCTCCCCCATAAGCTGCCCAGAGTCTCTTAGGAAAGAAATCTGATAAATTGCTAAAAGTTCTGCAAAAGGTAACATCTCTCCTTTCCACTCCCCACAATGACAGAGCTGTTTGGCTGAGATCTACAGGCAGTCCTTGACTTACGACGACAACTGAGCCCCACATTTCTGGTGCTGCGGCAGTTAGGTGAATTTTGCCCCATCTGATGACCTTTCTTGCACAGCTCTTAAGTGAAACCCTGCAGTTGTTAAATTAACAATATGGTGGTTAAGCGAATCCGGCTCCCCCTCCAGTTGACTTTGCTTGTCAGGTCGTAAAAGAGGATCACATAACCCGGGGACACTGCGACCGTCATAAATATGAATCAGTGGCCAAGCGTCTTGAATTTGGATCACGTAACCAAAGGGATGCTGCAATGGTTGGAAGAGTGAAAAATGGCCCCAGGTCATTTTCTTCCAGTGCTATTGTTAACTTCAAATGGTCACTAAAAGAACCGTTGTAAGTCAAGGACGACCTGTACTGCTTTTATGCACGGAAGTTCTAATGGGATAGCTTACCTGCCAGCAAAGGGACCCTCAGCCCCACAACAATATGGTTGCTTTGGGATGGCTCTCTGCAGGCCCAAAGGAAAGTGTAGGTGGTCCTCGACTTACAACAATTGGGCCCAACATTTCTGTTGCTAATTGAGACATTTGTTGAGTTTTGCCCCATTTTACGACCTTTCTTGGCACAGTTGTTAAGTGGGTCCTGGCAGTTGTTAAGTTAGGAGCACAGTTGTTAAATGAACAATCTGCTTGAGCAGGGGGTTGGACTAGAAGAACTCCAAGGTCCCTTCCAGCTCTATTATGTTCTGCTCTGTTCCATTTTCTATTCTATTCTATATTTCTCCTATTCTATTCTATTCTATTCCATATTTCTCCTATTCTATTCTATTCTGTTCTATTCTATTCCATATTTCTCCTATTCTATTCTATATTTCTCCTATCCTATCCTATCCTATTCCATATTTCTCCTATTCTATTCTATCCTATTCTATTCCTATTCCATATTTCTCCTATTCTATTCTGTTCTGATCTATTCTATTCCATTCCATATTTCTTCTATTCTATTCTATTCTATTCTATTCCATTCCGTTTTGTTCTGTTCTGAATCTGGTTTCCCCATTCACTTTGCTTGTCAGGTTGTAAAAGGAAGATCACATGAACCCAGGACACTGCAACCGTCGTAAATCTGAATCAGTTGCCAAGCGTCCGAATTTGGATCATGTGACCACAGGGATGCTGGAACGATCTTTAAGTGTGAGCAACGGTCATAATTTTTCCAGTGTCATCGTAACTTTGGACAGTCACTAAACAAACCGTTGTAAAGTCCAGGACTATCTGCCACTTCAGAAACCCAACTGCAGATTTCAGCAAGGTGAGAAAAATGAATCCATCGTGTCCCGAAGGAATCATTATTCTCTGGTGGGTTCCAGGCGATATTTTTTGGAGCCAAAGCTGCCGTGTACCAGGCACATGGTTTTTGGTTGTTTTTTTTTTTTTTTTAAGCAAATTAAAATCTCCTTAAATGTATTAAGTGCTGTCCCATGATGTGTGTTCTATTTCTTGGCATTGACTGAACGCGCCAGTGGAGAGAATTAAGTCTTACCTCCTCTTTCTCCAATCTGGCAGGACTCAAGGAAGAAGTGAAAAGTCATAAAAGAAGCAAGAAACCGTAGATTGATTCGGCACAGGGAATTGGCCACCGCCAAACCGTTAACGTGATTTAGGTTTGTTTTTAAAATGGCAGCTTTCAAGCTGAGCAGAGTTGAAATGAAATGGAGTTTTTAACGGCGGCGTGGCAGCAGGATCTATTTTTCCAAATTCGACAGGCGTATAAATCGTTCCAATTCCCTGCTCCCACAAGCACTTGGCCTTCTCACCTGGGAATGATGGAAGTTGTGGTCGAAGCCTTTTTTTGTTGTGGTTGTTGGGTTGGAGAAATTTGGTTTCATTTCGGGGCCCAGGACCAAATTTTACAACTCAAAATACGCTTATTTTGAGCGGTGCAGAGAAATGTTCCTTTCGTTCCTTCCTTTACAACTTAATGTAAGATTTTTTTTTTTGCCCCCCAAATCCCTTCTTAAGGAGAAGTGAGTTCAGGACACACCCATCTGGGGTGGTGGGTTGTAAACTTATACTTACTGGCCCAAGGGATGTGTGCAAGTCACCTAGTATGACTTGCATGAAAGCTGGCTGGGTGGCTTTGGGCCAATCAACTAGGTCAGTGGTTCTCAACCTTTTTAATGCCACGACCCCCAACCGGTCGTAAGTAGAGGACTACTCAACCGGTCATAAGTCGAGGACTACTCAACTGGTGCAGCACCGTTTGCAGAATGGGACTTTTGGCGGGCTCAGCAGGGCAGAGACAGCCTGGACAATTCCTATTGGCTTTTGAAAGCCAATAGAATTAGACTCTATTCAAGAGAGTCTATTCTATTGGCTTTCAAAAGCCAATAGAATAAAAGGGAGTAGCATAGCTAAGGAAAAGGGGGGGGGGAAATGGCGGACTGCGTTGTTTGGCGACCCCCGTGAAATGGTCGTTCGACCCCAAATGGGGTCCCGACCCACAGGTTGAGAACCACTGAACTAGGTGATGGTGAGTTCTAGTCCCACCTTAGACATAGAAGTCAGCTGGGTGAGTTTGGGCTAATCAATGAGGTGATGTTGAGTTCTAGTCCTGCTTTAGATATAAAAGTCAGCTGGGTGGCTTTGGACCAATCAACCAGACGATGGTGAGCTCTAGTCCCGCCTTAGACGTAAAAGTCAGCCAGGTGTCTTTGGGACAATCAACCAGGTAATGGTGAGGTCTAGTCCTGGCTTAGGCATGAAAGGACTGGGGGGGGGGGAGATGATAGCAGCGTTCCAGTATCTCAGGGGCTGCCACAAAGAAGAGGGAGTCAAGCTCTTCTCCAAAGCGCCTGAAGGCCAGACAAGAAGCAACGGATGGAAACCAATCAAGGAGAGAAGCAACCTGGAACTAAGGAGGAATTTCCTGACAGTGAGAACAATTAACCAGTGGAACAACCTGCCTCCAGAAGCGGTGAATGCTCCAACACTGGAAGTTTTTAAGAAGAGACTGGACAGCCATTTGTCCGAAATGGTGTAGGGTTTCCTGCCTGAACAGGGGGTTGGACTAGATGACCTCCGAGGTCCCTTCCAGCTCAGTTCTGATTGTCGCGTGCGTATTCACAAGCGGACACCTTTCAATCGGCCGCCGCAACGCGCTGGGTTGAAACCAGCCATCTGCTCTCTCCCCCCAACTCTGGCGCTCAACCATCCCTCTAGCTCGCCATTTCCTCTGCTCTCTCCTGCCCACTTTGCGGCCCAGCGGCACGCCAACCCCTCGCGCGGAACAGCAAAGCCACAAAAATGTTGCGAGGGGGAAATTATTCCTCGCACGCCTCATTGAGAACCCAGCGGGTTCCACCTCGGGAGAAGATGGCGGCTCCATCCGCTCTGGCCCTGACTGCCTCTATTGTCTGCCTCCATCTCTCCCTCTCTCAACGCCCCCCCCCCTCCGGCTTCCCTTCAAACGTTATATTATAGACTCCGGAGTTGTTCATTTTGGAGGCCGTCGGGTGCCAACCGGGAGAGAAAATATGTAAACAGACATTAGCCGGAGGTATAATACACACACACACACACACAAAAGTTGTGCATTCCAGTATAGGTAGTCCCTGACTGACACCATTTCGTTTAGGGACCGTCTCAAGTTGTAACGGTACTGAAAAAAGCGAGAGATGGAAACTAATCAAGGAGAGAAGCAAGCTAGAACTAAGGAGAAATTTCCTGACTGTGAGGACAGTTAATCAGTGGAACAGCCTGCCACCAGAAGCGATGAATGCTCCAACACTAGAAGTTTTTAAGAAGAGACTGGACAGCCCTTTGTCTGAAATGGTATAGGCTTTCCTGGCTGAGCAGGGGGTTGGACTAGAAGACCTCCAAGGTCCCTTCCAACTCTGTTACTTTCCTTCCTTCCTTCCTTCCTTCCTTCCTTCCTTCCTTCCTTCCTTCCTTCCTTCCTTCCTTCCTTTCCTTCCTTCCTCCCTCCCTCCCTCCTCCAACACTGGAGGTTTTTAAGAAGAGACTGGACAGCCATTTGTCTCAAATGGTATAAGTTTCCTGCCTGAGCAGGGAGTTAGACTAGATGACCTTCACGGTCCCTTCCAACTTTATTGTTATTATTATTATTAGACATGAACCTCAGTCAACTGAACATTCAAATTGGCTGGCGCTGATGTTTGACACGGGTTGCTACCATTATTTATTGCTCCTGTTGCTGCTGCTACTACTACTACTACTACTACTACTACTACTTATTATTATTATTATTATTATTATTATTATTATTATTATTATTATTATATTATTATTCTGTTATTATTACATGACCAATTTTCACACCATATTTTCTCCAAAATAAGCCCTAGCTTGATTTGTCAGGATAAGCCCTATCCCAAAAATAAGCCCCAGTTAAGATCATCAGCCAGATGGACGCATTTAGCACCGTATTTCCCTGAAAATAAGATCTAACCGTAAAACAAGCCCTAATTCATCCTTTGGAGCAAAATTTAATATAAGACCCGGTCTAATTTTGGGGGAAATACGGTAGAATGTTGCAAGCATCCCCATGATCAAAATTCACAAGCTTATTATTATTATTGTGTGTGTGCATGTGTTTGTGCGTGTGCGTGTGTGTGTGCAAGAAATAAATTCACCCTGTTTTTGAGCTTCTGGCAAGGGACTTTTACCTGCCTGCCCACCCGCCTGGCAAGGATTTATATAAGAAGATTTGGAATCCAAGCCTTAGCAAACGTGGAACATCAGGGAACAGTCACCTTTGTTTTTCTTACCATTTCACTTTGTCAACGATAAATCAGAGAGTTGGAAAAACATTTGGCAAAGGGAAAGAGAGTGGGGGGGGGGAGGAAAAAAAAAGAGAGAAAGAGAGAGACAGAGAGAGGAGGAAAGAGAGAGAGAGGAGAAAGAGAAGAGAGAGGGAGAGAGAAAGAGAAGAGAGAGGGAGAGAGAAAGAGAGAGGAGAGAGGAGGAAAGAGAGAGAGGAGAGAGAAAGAAAGAAAGAGAGAGAGAGGAGAGGGAGAGAGAAAGAAGAGAGAGAGGAGAGAGAGAGAAAGAGAGAAGAGAGAGGGAGAGAGAAAGAAGAGAGAGAGGAGGAAAGAGAGAGCAAGAAAGAGAAGAGAGAGAGGAGGAGAGGAGAGAGAGAGGGAGAGAGAAAGAAGAGAGAGGAGAGAGAGAAAGAGAGAAGAGAGAGGGAGAGAGAAAGAAGAGAGAGAGGAGGAAAGAGAGAGCAAGAAAGAGAAGAGAGAGAGGAGGAAAGAGAGAGAGAGAGAGAGAGAGAGAAGCGCAGAATTTACTAACCAAAGGCAGTTGTTTTTTTCCCCAAAGTCCCATCCGAACCGAGAGACTTTTTTTTTTTTTGGCCCTTGGGTGGGGTTTTTTTTTGTGTGTGTTTTTTATTAATTTATTTCAAAAACCGGTTTCTCGTGAAAGAGTACGCTAAGGAGAAGAGCGGTCGTCTTCGGTGGATCGGTGGGACGGCCAGCGGAGAAGCGTTGGCTGGGACATGCGCTGAGTGGCGGCTGGCCACCGTGGCTTCCTCCCGGGGGGGCTCCGAACGCCGGGACGCTGCGCCAGACTCCCTCGCGGGCGGCCCGTCTGGAGGAGAAAGGAGAGGAGCCAGGTCAGGTGCTGGCAAAGACGCCGGTGAGGCTGATGTGGCTGTGCAGAAACGATTTGCACAGCTCAGTTGCAGTAGCTGTGTGGTTCCTTCTTGGGCTAGTGGGGGTCTAATCCAGAGGGCCCCCCCCCAACCTTTTGGGCACCAGGGATCACCGCATCCTCAGAGAGAGGTTTTTCCGCGGACCGAAGGGTGTGTGGTTTTGTGTGCTGCCTGCCTCCCGTGGATGGGGCTTTCCTTGTTTGTGCGGACCGGTTGCCGGTCCATGGACCAGGGTGTTGGGGACCCCTGGTCTAATCCAAACAGGAACCCCTAAACAAGTCCTTTTCGTCCAAGTCTTGCTTTAGCACTGATGATGTTCCCTAGCTGGGCAATGAAACGTCTGCAAGAAAAGAAGCAAGCTCAAAGAGCACCAAGGACCCCACAGTCTCCCTCCCCCTCCTCCTCCTCTTCTTCCTCTTCCTCCTCTTCTCCTCCTCCTCCTCCTCTCCATAAAACCCACTCCCTTCTATCCCTGATGATGTTACCTAGCTGGGCAATGAAACGTCTGCAAGAAAAGAAGCAAGCTCAAAGAGCACCAAGGACCCCACAGTCTCCCTCCTCCTCCTCCTCCTCCTCCTCCTCTTCTTCTTCTTCCTCTTCCTCTTCTTCTCCTCCTCCTCCTCCTCTCCATAAACCCCACTCCCTTCTATCCCTGATGATGTTCCCTAGCTGGGCAATGAAACGTCTGCAAGAAAAGAAGCAAGCGCAGAGAGCACGAAGGACCCCACAGTCCTCTTCCTCCTTGCTATACATGCCACTCCCTTCTAGCACTGATGATGTTACCTAGTTGGGTCATGAAACGTCTGCAAGGAAAGAAGCAAGCGCAGAGAGCACCAAGGAAACCTATCGGTGTTCTCTCCCTCCCTCCCTCCCTCTCCTCCTCCTTCTCATCCTTCCCTCCTTTCTCCCCCTTCTTCACTCCACACACCCGCTTCTGTCCAGCCCTGATGATGTTACCTAGTTGCGTGATGAAACGTCTACAAGAAAACAGCCAAGCTCAGAGAGCGAAATGGTCTAGGGTTTCCTGCCTGAGCAGGGGGTTGGACTAGATGACTTCCAAGGTCCTTTCCAACTTTATTATTATTATAATAGCACCAAGGAAACCTATCGAACTTCCTACCCTCCTTCCCTCTCTTCCTCCTTCTCATCCTTCCCTCCCTCCTTTCTCCTTCGCTCCACACGCCCACTCCTTTCCAGCACTGATGATGTTCCCTAGTTGGGCGATGAAACGTCTGCAAGAAAAGAAGCAAGCTCAGAGAGCACCAAGGACCCCCCACCTCCTCTCTCCCTGATGATGTTACCTAGTTGGGCAATGAAACGTCGGCAAAAAAAACCCCCAACAACAGCCAAGCTCAGAGAGCTGCAAGGAACTCACGGCTGTCCTCCTCGTCCTGCAACCCCCCAACACGCCCACCTCCCTTCTAGCACTGATGCGGTTACCTAGTTGGGTCATGAAACATCTGCCAGAAAATAAGAACCAAGCTCAGAGGGCACCAAGGCCCCCACGGTCCTCCTTTTCCTCCACTCTACGCACCTTCTTCCTTCTAGCCCTGATGACGGTCCCTAGCTGGGTCATGAAACGTCTGCAAGAAAACCAGCCAGCTCGGAGAACGCCAAGGACCCCACAGTCCTCCTCCTCCTCACACACCCATCCTCTTCTAGCCCCGATGACGATCTCTAGCTGGGTCATGAAACGTCTGCAAGAAACCAGCCAGCTCGGAGAGCGCCAAGGACCCCACAGTCCTCCTCACACACCCATCCTCTTCTAGCCCTGATGACAGTCCCTAGCTGGGTCATGAAACGTCTGCAAGAAACCAGCCAGCTCGGAGAGCGCCAAGGACCCCACAGTCGTCGTTGTCGTCCTCCTCCTCCTCCTCCTCCCACACCCATCCTCTTCTAGCCCTGATGACGATCTCTAGCTGGGTCATGAAACGTCTGCAAGAAAACTAGCCAGCTCGGAGAGCGCCAAGGATCCCCTCCCCCCATTTACTGTCTCTGGATCCAAAAGAACCAATGGCCTGGGCACCTGATCACCGCCCCGGCACTTGGCAACACAAATGTTTCTGCTGCTGAAGCCACATCCAAATCTTTGTGTTGGGCTCCGGAGGCGAATCCAGCCAGGAGGCTGATGACACCCACCTGATCCTAGTCGTCAATGTACTCAAAGGGCTCGGGGGGCTCCGGCTCCTGTTCCTCCTCCTCTATCTTGGGCCCGTGGGCCGCCACGGGCTCCACCAGCTCTTCCGTGTCCTCGCTGGTGTCTCGCAAGACGATGATGCCCCCAATGGAGAGCTAAGGGGGGGGGAAAAAGCAGATAGCAGTAGCGCTCAAGACTTATATGCCGCTTCATGGCTCTCTCTAAGCAGTTGACAGAGTCCCCCAAACAATCTGGGTCCTCATTTTTACCGATCTGGGAAGGATGGAAGGCTGAGTCGACCTTGAACCCTGTCAGGGTCGAACAGCTGGCAGTCGGCAGAGCCTGCAAGGCTGCATTCTAAGCACTGCGCCACCCAGGAAGGAAGGAAGGAAGGAAGGAAGGAAGGAAGGAAGGAAGGAAGGAAGGAAGGAAGGGAGGGAGGGAGGAAGGAAGGAAGGAAGGAAAAGAAGAAAGGAGGATGAAAGGAAGGAATAGCAATTGCACTTAGACTTATATATACCTTCACAGTGCTTTACAGCCCTCTAAGTAGTTATAAAGTAACAAAAGTGACAGAGATATAAGTAGTGATGATAGTTAGTTAGTTAGTTAGTTAGTTAGTTAGATAGAAGGAGGTAGATAGATGATACACAGATAGATAAATAGATAGATACAGAGAGACATAGATAGATAGACCAAAAGATAGATATATAGACACAAAGATAGATAGATATATACATAGAGACATAGAGATATAGATATAGAAAGATAAAGATAGATAGATATAGATAGATAGACATAAAGAAACATATAGAGAGACACAGAGATAGATAGATAGATAGATAGATAGATAGATAGATAGATAGATATAAGTAGGTAGATAGATGATACACAGATAGATAAATAGATATAGAGAGACATAGATAGATAGACCGAAAGAAAGAGAGATAGATATATAGAGACACAGAGATAGATAGATAGAGACATAGAGATATAGATATAGAAAGATAAAGATAGATAGATAGATAGATAGATAGATAGATAGACAGAAAGAAACATATAGAGACACAGAGATAGATAGATAGATAGATAGATAGATAGATAGATAGATAGATAGATAGATAGATAGATATAGATAGATAGATAGAATTAGGTAGATAGATATAGATAGATATAGAGAGACATAAATAGATAGGTACAAAAAGAAAGACAGATAGATATACACAGAAATAGATAGATATATAGAGAGACACATAGATATATACATATATATAGATAAATAGATAGATATAGAGAGACATAGATAGATAGATAGATAGATAGATAGATAGATAGATAGATAGATAGATAGATAGATAGGTAGATAGATAGATAGATATAGAGAGACATAGATAGATAGATAGATAGATAGATAGATAGATAGATAGATAGATAGATATAGAGAGACATAGATAGATAGATAGATAGATAGATATAGAGAGACATAGATAGATAGATAGATAGATAGATAGATATAGAGACATAGATAGATAGATAGATAGATAGATATAGAGACATAGATAGATAGATAGATAGATAGATAGATAGATAGATAGATACATAGATAGATAGATAGACAGATATAGAGAGACAGACAGAGAAAAAGAAAGAGAGGGAGGGAGAGAGAGAGAGATGAGACAGACAGACCTAATTCATGGATGGAGAGAAGAGGCAGAGACAAGAGATAAGAGGCAGGGACAGACAAGGAACACTCACAGTCTTGAAAGGCTGGTACCGGCAACTGTCTGGCATGGTGAGCACCTTCAGCTGGGCTGGCATCACCCGCGCTGGATTGTCAAGGATCTGGAAAGAGGGTTCGGGCTCCTTCTTCTTCTCCTTCTCCTCCTTCTTCTCTGCTTCTTCCTGTTTGGGGATGCGAGAGAAGCATCAGCGGAAGGAACGGAGGAAACAGCCGCAAGGGATGCCCTGAGAAGCTGGAACCCACGGAACGCTTCCCGACTTGCAGGTGTGACGTGTTAGGTACAAAAATCCAATCCAATCTGTCCTCCTAATCAAGATGGGATGGGGAGATTGCCTGGCTTGGAGGTGGATGCTGGAACCCTGCCAAGGCGCTAAAGCAAGTAGTCCCCGACCTTTTGGAGATACAGATAGTCCTCCACTTACAATCACAATTGAGTCCAAAATTAGAACAATTAACAGTGACAATTAATTAACAATTAAACAACCTGCCTCCAGAAGTGGTGAATGCTCCAACACTGGAAATTTTAAAGAAGAAATTGGACAGCCTTAGTCTGAAATGGTAGAGGGTTTCCTGCCTGGGCAGCGGGTTGGACTAGATGACTTCCAAGGTCCCTTCCAACCGTTATTCTATTCTATTCTATTCTATTCTATTCTATTCTATTCTATTCTATTCTATTCTATTCTATTCTATTCTATTCTATTCTATTCCCATTCTTTCTCTATTTCTATTCTATTCTTTCTCTATTCTGTAGTCTATTTTCTATTCTATTCTATAATCTATATTCTATTCTATTCTATTCTTTATCCTTTTTCTCTTCTCAATAAATATTCTGTTCTGTTCTGTTCTGTTCTATTATATTCTATCCTATCCTATCCTCTATTCTATATTCTATTCTAGTCTATTCTGTTCTCTATTCTATTCTATATTCTATATTCTATATCCTATATCCTATCCTATCCTATCCTATCCTATTCTTTGTGGTCATAAATTGAGGATTACCTGTTATCATCTTTTTTCAGCTCCATCTGGGAAAGAGGGATTGTCGGCCAATATTCCCTCTTTTCTGATGGATTTGGTTTTCAGAGACCAGTAAAATTATTCCTGAGCACGCTTCCTGCATCTTAGGAGTGCGAGAGCATCATCCTTTCTCTTCCTACTGACGGACATTAAAGGCAAACTCTGAAAACACAGGGAGTCCTCAACTTACAGCAGTTCACTTCGTGACCGTTCAACGTCGCAATGGCATTGAAAAAAACAGTGACTTGCGACTGGTTTTCACACAGCCGCTGCAGCAATCCCCATGGGGTCAGGTGATCAAAATTCCGGCGCTCGGCGACTGACTCACATTTATGATGGTCGCTGTGTCTCCCGGGGGAGGGGGTGTCAGGGGATCCCCCGTTTTGCGACCTTCTGACGAGCAAAGTCCACGGGGGAGGGGGGGAGCCGGATTCCCTTAACGACCGGGTGACTAAGAACTGCCGCGATTCGCTTAACGTCGCAAAACGGGCCGAAACTCAACTTAACCAATGTTTCACTTAGCAAACTGAAATTTTGGGCTCCACTGTGGTCGTATGTCGAGGATGGGCTGTCTCAGCTTCTCGGCTCCGCGTTCCTGGGAGAATGTCAGCATTTTTTCCCTCCCCCTCCCCTCCCCCCCGACATGGAGGAATCTGAGCTCGGGACTCAAAACCATCATGCAAGGACACCAGGCCAGAGAAGGCTGGAGCCAACTCACCACTTCCATTTTCTCCTCTTCTTTTTTCTCTTTTTCTTTCTCTTTCTCCTTTTTCTTGGCTTTCGCAGTGATGGACAGCACGGCTGTGGAAACCTGGGGAGGAGGGAAAAGAGTGGAAGGGTTAGAGAAGGAGTCCAGGAACATCCAAGGGCAGGGGTGGGCAACCTTGGCTCCTTTGCTATAGAAAGACTGAAGCACCATAGACAGAGAGTGAGGGAGTCTGTCTGCACGTCTGTCTTTCTATCCATCCTCTACCTCTATGTCTGTCTTTCTGCCTGTCTCTATCTATCTGCCTCTATGTCTGTCTGTCTCTCTCTATGTATGTATGTATGTCTCTATGTACCTACCTACCTACCTACCTCCCTACCTCTATCTATCTATCTATCTATCTATCTATCTATCTATCTATCTATCTATCTATCTATCTATCTATCTATCTATCTATCTATCTATCTGTCTATTTATCTATCTATCTATCTATCTATCTATCTATCTAATCTATCTCTGTATCTATCTCTATGTCTATCTATCTGTGTCTCTCTATATGTCTTTCTTTCTATCTGTCTCTCTATATCTCTCTATATATCTACCTCTCTTTCTCTTTCTATCTGCCTCTGTCTGTCTGTCTCTATGTACCTACCTACCTCTATCTATCCTATCTCGTCTATCTATCTCGTCTATCTATCTATCTATCTATCTATCTATCTATCTATCTATCTATCTATCTATCTATCTATCCTATCTCTAGTATATCTATCTGTCTGTCTCTATCTCTCTATCTATCTGCCTCTATGTCTGTCTCTCTCTCACTGTCTGTCTGTACGTACTGTATATCTATGTACCTACCTACCTACCTACCCCCCCCTTCTCTGGCTTTATGCCTCTGACTGTCTGTCTGTCTATCTCTAGGAGATGGCAGCGTGGCTCTATAGATAGGGGCCCCAATGCCCAGAAGCAGCCCTGGGTGGAGCATACAACAAACCTTTTCTTTCTCCTTCTCTTTTGGCACTTCCAAGGGTGCTGGGTAGGCAAATGTGGAGGGCTTGACGTTGGACCGGTACTGCACTTTGGGCATCTGAAAAAAAGGAAGGAAAGAAAGAAGGATGGAAGGGAGGGAGGGAGGGAGGGAGGAAGGAAGGAAGGGAGGGAGGAAGGGAGGGAAGGAGGAAGAGAGGGGTGAAATGGGAACGAGGAAGGAAGGAAAGAAGGATGGGAGGGAGGGAAGAAGGAAGGAAGGGAAGGAGGAAGGGAGGGGTGAGATGGGAACGAGGAAGAAAGGAAGGAAGGAAAGAAGGATGAGAAGGAGGGAGGGAGGGAAGAAGGAAGGAAGGAAGGAGGAAGGGTGGGGTGAGATAGGAAGGAAGGAAGGAAGGAAGGAAGGAAGGGAGAGAAGAAGGAAGGAAGGAAGGAAGGAAGGAAGGAAGGGAGAGGAAGGGAGGGGTGAGATGGGAACGAGGAAGAAAGGAAGGAAGGAAAGAAGGATGAGAAGGAGGGAGGGAGGGAAGAAGGAAGGAAGGAAGGAGGAAGGGTGGGGTGAGATAGGAAGGAAGGAAGGAAGGATGGGAGAGAAGAAGGAAGGAAGGAAGGAAGGGAAAGAGGAAGGGAGGGGTGAGATGGGAACGAGGAAGAAAGGAAGGAAGGAAAGAAGGATGAGAAGGAGGGAGGGAGGGAAGAAGGAAGGGTGGGGTGAGATAGGAAGGAAAGAAGGAAGGAAGGAAGGAAGGAAGGGAAAGAGGAAGGGAGGGGTGAGATGGGAACGAGGAAGGAAGGAAGGAAGGAAAGAAGGATGGGAGGGAGGGAGGGAGGGAGGAAGGGAGGGGTGAGATGGGAATGAGGAAGGAAGGAAGGAAGGAAGGAAGTAAAGTTGGGAGGGAGGAAGGGAAGAAGGAAGGAAGGAAGGAAGGGAAGGAGGAAGGGAGGGGTGAGAATGAGGAAGGAAGGAAGGAAGGAAGGAAAGATGGGAGGAGGAAGGGAAGAAGGAAGGGAGGGGTGAGATGGGAATGAGGAAGGAAGGAAGGAAAGGAAAAAAGGGGGAAAAGGAAAGAAGGAACAATGTCAGAGGCTGAAGACAAAATCCAGGGAGCAAAAACAGTAGAATGTGTGTGTGTGTGTGTGTGTGTGTGTGTGTATTCGCAGAGAGATGCTTCCCTGTCTCAGGAATTCTGGGAGTTGAAATCCACCGGTGGTAGAGTTGCCACAATTGCCCACCCCCTGCTCTAGCTGAGGAAAAGATGCTGGGATGAAAGAGATTTTAACTTCTTAATGTACCCAACGATTGCAAACTTAGCAAGGACTGTCAGGCAAATGTGGGCTCCCTTGATCGCTGCAGGGCAGCTTAAGTCGGCATCCGACTTTGCTCAGATAAGCAGAGATCGGCAGAGCTGTGCAGAAAAAAAAAAGGGCTTTATTTTCCTTTGATCTTTACCATCCAAAGGCCAGCACACTGTGTGCAGAAGCTTGTAGCTCCCAATCTGGCACAGCCGAGGGTTTGTCGGATAAAGGTTTCCTTTTGGGGCATGGGGGGGGGGTTACCCCTCAATAAAATAAAGGAGGATATTTTCTGAGGAAGGCAACAGGGCTCTCTGTGCACGCTGGGATTTCACTGCAACTCCGAGCGCGTCCTTGCCTGTTGAACTTACAAAGACTTTTGGAAAAGTCTTGCAAAAAAAACAAAAAAAGATGTTGAGACTTTGGAGAAAAAAATGTGCAGAGAAGAGCAACTGATTAAAAACTTGGAGGCTCAAACATGAAAAATGGTTGCAAACTGGGTATGGCCAGTCTAAAGAAAAGAAGGACGAGGGGGTGACATGATAGCAGTATTTCAGTATCTTAGGGGCTGCCCCAAAGAAGAGGGAGTCAAGCTGTTCTCCAAAGCACCTGAGGGCAGGACAAGAAGCAATGGATGGAAACTCATCAAGGAGAAAAGCAACCTGGAACTAAGGAGAAACTTCCTAACAGTGAGGACAATTAACCAGTGGAACTACCTGCCTCCAGAAGCTGTGGATGCTCCAACACTGGAAGTTTTTAAGAAGAGACTGGACAGCCATTTGTCTGAAATGGTATAGGGTTTCCTTCCTGAGCAGGAGGTTGGACTAGATGACCTCCAAGGTCCCTTCCAACTTATTATTATTATTATTATTTTTGATTGTCACATAGTCAGCCAGATGTTCAGACTGGATTTGGCATTTTGTCTACCTATCGAGTCCTTACCCAGGACCTGGGATAGACAGATGTGGATGTTTGATGGTATTACAGGTATCGTCGCAGGATGGAAGCAGTTCCTAATAAGGCTGCCTTTTGCAATTGACTAATAGCAAATTTGTCAATGCCAATGGTGTTCAAGTGGTGCTCCCGTTGTTTTGGGATTGCGCCCAAGGAACCTATGACTATTGGTACTACCCTTGCTTGCTTTTGCCACAGTCTTTCTATTTCTATTTGCAGGTTTTTGTATTTTGTTATCTTCTCCAGTTCTTTCTCATCTATTCTGCTGTCTCTAGGCACTGCCATGTCCATCATCATCATCATCATCATCACTATTATTATTATTAATTAAAATCAGAAAGTCCATTTCCCCCTTGAAAAAAAGCACCTTTGGGATTATCCCCTGAATTATTTCCTATTGCCAGAAGCACCCCAGCATTTTCTCCAGGCCAAATGAGGAGGTAAAAAAAAAAACACCTCCCCCTCCAGAGCATCCTTTTGATTCCCACAGCACCTACCTTGAGGTCCTTGTTGAGGCCGATCACGCAGGTCGGAGTGAACGCCAGGGACAAGAAGTGGGACAGAGGAAACCAGAACCAGAACTGGGTGAAGACCAGGACGCCGACCACCGAAGGCATGTGCGTGTGGCCGGTCCTTGACTGCAGAGAAATTGTGACGTTGTGGCCACCTGGAGAGGGATTGGCACAGAGAGAGAGAGAGGCTTCGAGTTAAGTGGGCTGAAAGGATCACAAGAGTAAAGACATTTTTTTGGGGGGGGGGATAAGAGAATTCTTTGACCATGGGAAACAGATGCTTTCGGATGAATGTAGAGAGAGACATACTGTGGGGTCCTTGGTGCTCTCTGAGCTGGGTGGTTTTCTTGCACATGTTTCATGACCCAACTAGGTAACATCATCAGTGCTAGAAGGGAGGAGGAGGAGGAGGAGGAGGAGGAAAAGAAGAAGAAGAAGAAGAAGAAGAAGAAGAAGAAGAAGAAGAAGAAGAAGAAGAAGAAGAAGAAGAAGAAGAAGAAGAAGAAGAAGAAGAAGAAGAAGAACAACAACAACAACAACAACAACAACAACAACAACAACAACTGTGGGGTCCTTGGTGCTTTCTGAGCTGGGTGGTTTTGTTGCAGACGTTTCATGACCCAACTAGGGAACATCATCAGTTCTGGAAGGGAGGAGGAGAATTATGGGGTCCTTGATGGTCTCTGAGCTTGGTTGTTTTCTTGCAGAGGTTTCATGACCCAACTAGGTAACATCATCAGTGCTGGAAGGGAGGAGGAGGAAGAGAACAACAACAACTGTGGGGTCCTTGGTGCTCTCTGAGCTGGGTGGTTTTGTTGCAGACGTTTCATGACCCAACTAGGGAACATCATCAGTTCTGGAAGGGAGGAGGAGGAGGAGAATTATGGAGTCCTTGGTGGTCTCTGAGCTTGGTTGTTTTCTTGCAGAGGTTTCATGACCCAACTAGGTAACATCATCAGTGCTGGAAAGGGGGAGGAGGAAGAGGACGACGACTGTGGGATGCTTGATGCTCTCTGAGCTTCTTTCCTTGCAGACATTTCATGACCCAACTAGGTAACGTCATGGGTGCCAGAAGGGATTTGGGGTTTACTGTCTATTTATACACAAGTGGTCCAGACACCCCTTCTGTGTCTCCTAAATGGGAGGCAAAGGACTCAAGAGACAGTTGCAAAGAGGATGAAAGGCATCCTGCAGGCCCCGATTGAACGAAGGAGCTACGCATATGCAGGTCCCCAAATTCTGCCATCTAACCTCCTTCTTCTTCCAACGGGGGCTTAACATCCTTCTTTGCTGAGATGGGGATGGAGGGAGTCAACCAGACCACAGAACATGCTAGTTGGGCAATCCTGGGAATTACAGTCCACACATCTTCACATCTTTTATATGCGGGTGCCCACCATCTTGCAGACGTTGATGGACACCACTTGGAGGCTTCTGGGTGGATGGAAGGATGGATCTAAAACAGAGGGTCCCTCAACCTCAAAAAGATTAAGATGGCCAAGATTGGGAATCGCTGACCTGCAGCGACTTGCCTCCAGAAGTTGTGGGTTTCCACCGCTGGAGGTTTTCAAGAAGAGACTGGACAGTCATTTGTCTGAAATGGTATAGGATTCCCTGCTTGAGCAGGGGGTTGGACTAGAAGACCTTCAAGGTCCCTTCCAATTCTGTTATTCTGTTCCAGTCAAGTCAACTCCAGATGTGTCTAGATAACTTATCACCAACATGTGCCCCAGCCTTCCCTACCAGTTGGAAAACTGAGGCAGCCTTAGGAGGATTCTGGAGAACAACTGCTCTCCTGGAACAGACCAAGTGTCCTTTTGGTCCAACTTCCTGTCTCCATGAACAGCGAACTCAGAGTCTTGGGGGACTCTGCCTAGCAATGAGTATTTTAACAGCTCCTCTTCACCCCCTTGTGTAATTACCTTAATTGAAAACATGTGTTTCAATTTACCATGTAGGCATGTGGGGAAAATCAAGTCTAGAACACTCATCCGTGTCTACGTTCCTTGCTTGCGATTCCTGCCCGTTGCACAAGCCCCGTTGCCTTTTCATCACCCTGATTCATTTCCTTGGAAGTTAAAAAGACTGTTCTGCTCCTCTTCCAGCATCTGACAAATCCTGTCTGGAGGGGCCGCGCTGATGGGGAAGAATACATACCACCCAAAGGAGAAGCCTTTGCATCTCTGCTTGCTTCAGCTGGTGGGTGAGATAAATCAGGGCAACGGGCATTAATCCTGCCCAGATAACCAAACCCCGATGATAATTCCATCTCTGGAAAGCAGAGATGGCAGGAACTTGTCAAGCTGATGCAAGGCAGGCCTCTTCTCTCTCTCTCTCTCTCCCCCCCCCACAATCCATTGAAGCTGAACAGACAGCGCTGGCCGGAAGAGGGAGAGAGAACGAAGGGGTTAATCTGTTTTTTTCAATCCCTTGTAGAGATTGGGCTGAAGAAGGACAGACAGAGGCTTGAAATGAAGTAAATGGCAACTGAGTCTAAGGCAGGCTTATGCAACCTTGGCTCATTTATGCCTTGTGGACTTCAACTCCCAGAATTCCTGAGCCAGCCATGCTGAGGGGAAAGGGAGAGGTTTCCAAGCTGAGCCAGGCTGGCTGAGGAATTCTGGGAGTTGAAGTCCATGAGTCATGAGGGGGCCATAGTTCCCCTATATGGCTGAGGAATTCTGGGAGTTGAAGTCCATGAGGGGGCCATAGTTCCCCCACGCTGGCTGAGGAATTCTGGGAGTTGAAGTCCGCAAGTCATGAAGGGGGCCATAGTTCCTCCATGCTGGCTGAGGAATTCTGGGAGTTGAAGTCCACATGTCATGAAGGGGCCATGGTTTCCCCCATGCTGGCTCAGGAATTCTGGGAGTTGGTCCACCAGTCATAAAAAAGCCAAGGTTGCCTACTCCTGGGCTAAGGGATCCAGGTATGTTTAGCCTAATGAAGATAAGGCATCAAACAAGCAAGCAAGCAATCAGAACAGAGCTGGAAGGGAGCTTGAAGGTCTTCCAGTCCAACCCCCTGCTCAAGCAGAAGAGCCAATACCAGGGGTCTTCAAACCTGGCCCCTTCATGACTCGTGGACTTCAACTCCCAGAATTCCTCAGCCAGCGTGGGGGAACTGTGGCCCCTTCATGACTTGCGGACTTCAACTCCCAGAATTCCTCAGCCAGCGTGGGGGATCTATGGCCCCTTCATGACTCATGGACTTCAACTCCCAGAATTCCTCAGCCAGCGTGGGGGATCTATGGCCCCTTCATGACTCATGGACTTCAACTCCCAGAATTCCTCAGCCAGCATGGGGGAACTATGGCCCCTTCATGACTTGTGGACTTCAACTGCCAGAATTCCTCAGCAAGCATGGTGGAACTATGGCCGCTTCATGACTTGTGGACTTCAACTCCCAGAATTCCTCAGCCAGCATGGCTCAGCTTGGAAACCTCTCCCTTTTCCCCTCAGCATGGCTGGTTCAGGAATTCTGGGAGTTGAAGTCCACCAGTCATAAAAGAGCCCAGGTTGCCTACCCCTGGTTTAGAAAATCATTATTATATCCCGTTATTTGCATGTCAGGGATACTACTTGGTGAGGGAAAATAAAAGTTCTTCTGACGTTTGAGCCTCTTAGCGAGGATGTGCACAGTGAACCTTTGGGAGTGACCCTCGCAGCATGGCTTAAAAAGTTTATAGTTTTAAAGTGGGGGCAGGGGTGGGGCAACTCACAGGAAACCATCACATTAGCTGCATTTCATTAGCGTAACAGTTAATTCAATCCACATGATCAAATTTAATAAAGCAAATTACATTTGGGTTGTTTTTTGTTTTTTTTCCTGTTGGTTTCCTCCACTTTTCAGAAACAGAGCTAAGATGGCAGCACAGAAAAACCCAGGCAGGTCTCACGCACACACTCGCGAGAAAGTAGCCTGCGCACATGCAGGCAAGTCCAAGTGTTTCCAGACAGGGCCCTTATGTCATGCTAACAACGGCTCTCGGTTCTTGGTAATTTATGGAAGTCTGGGAATGTTATTTTCACAGCAGTCTTGACCACCTAAGATTTGGCTTTCCTTCAGCCCTCCTCCTCCTCGTGGCCTCCTTTTCTTCTGTCTCTTTCCTCTCTCCTCTTCTCATTTTTCTCCTCTCTTCTTCTCCTTTTCTTCTTCGTCTCCTCTTCTCCTGTCTTCTTCCTCTTCTTCTTTTCCTCCTCTCCTCTTCCTCCTCCTCTGCTCCTTCATCTCCTCTCATCTTCTCCTTCTCCCCCTACTCTCCTTTTCCTCTTTTCTGCTCCTTGATTTCCTCTTCTTCCTCTTCCTCCTTCTCTTCTTATTCTTCATCTTCTCCTTTTCCTCCTCCTCTGCTCCTTCCCGTCCTTTGCTTATCCTGCTTCCTCTTCTTCCTCTCCTCTTCCTCCTTGATCTCCTCTTCCTCTTCCTCCTCTTCTCCTCCTCCTTTTTCTACTTTTCTGCTCCTTGATCTCCTCTTCCTCTTCCTCCTCTGTTCCTTCTCTCTTCTTCCTCTTCCTCATCTTCTACTTTTCCTCCTCTCCTCTATCTCCTCCTCTGCTCCTTCCCCTCCTTTGCTTATCCTCCTTCCTCTTCCTCCCTCTTCTCCTTTTCCTCCTCTCCCTCCTCCTCTGCTCCTTCCCCTCCTTTGATTATCCTCCTTCCTCTTCCTCCCTCTTCTCCTTTTCCTCCTCTCCTCTTCCTCCTCCTCTGCTCCTTCCCCTCCTTTGCTTATCCTCCTTCCTCTTCCTCCTCCTCTGCTCCTTCTCCTCTGCTCCTTGCCTTCTTCCTCCTCCTCTGCTCTTTGATCTCCTCTTCCTCTTCTCTTCTTCCTCTTCCTCATCTTCTCCTTCTCCTCCTCTCCTTTTCCTACTTCTCTGCTCCTTGATCTCCTCTTCCTCTTCTTCCTCCTCTGCTCCTTGTCCTCCTTTCCTCTTTTTCCTCTTCCTCATCTTCTCCTTCTCTTCCTCCTCCTCCTCCTTCCCCCCCCCCAGTTACTAAACAAACAGACAGAAGTCAAGGACTATCTGCACTCATTCCCAACCCTTCTTGCTTTGGCTGGTGGGACCTGCTCTGCCATGATTTAGGAGAGTAAATTCCTGAGCTAAGTTCCAGGAAAAAATGTCCTACAGCTACTGCCGGTAGCCAAGTTGTTGGCCCTCCTTAGTGAGATACCTCTTGTTGTTTATATATATAAAAAAAAATGCTGAAAAACGACTTACAACAGTCAGCACTGCCCCCGCCAACAGATTTCAACCAGACTCCCAAAAATATCATCAACCCGGTCTTGGCGGTTGGTTCGAGATTTTCTAGCGGCCCTTCCTATAACTTGTTGAAACTATTACGGGAAATATTTGTGGCTCGCTCGATCTTGAAAGATGCCAGCAAACACAGTCTCCAAAATGGCCCGTTTCCACCCTTCATAAGTTAGAAACCACCTTTCTGTGCCAGGAGAGACCTGTAAATAATTTTGCTGTGCGTGCTTTCTAGTAAAAATCAGGATGCTTCCAAAACTAAATAAATAAATAAATAAATAAATTTAAGTGCATTACAATTTCAGGCCGAGGTAATAATAAAGTCCCAGAACATTCTTTGAAAAAAGATCCATTCATTCAGGAGAGGGTGAATTCTAGTCTCATCTTATGGGTTTCATACCTATAGTGGGACTAGAACTCACCGTCTCCTGGTGATTGGCCCAAAGACACCTAGATGGCTTTCACACCTAAAGCAGGACTAGAACTCCCAATCTCCTGGTGATCGACCCACAATCACCCATCTGGCTTTCATACCTAAGGCAGGATTAGAACTCCCAGTCTCCTGGTGATTGACCCAAAGTCACCCAGCTGGCTTTCACACCTAAGGCAGGACTAGAACTCCCAGTCTCCTGGTGATTGACCCAAAGTCACCCAGCTGGCTTTCACACCTAAGGCAGGACTAGAACTCCCAGTCTCCTGGTGATTGACCCAAAGTCACCCAGCTGGCTGTCACGCCTAAGGCAGGACTAGAACTCCCCGTCTCCTGGTGATTGGCCCACAGTCACCCATCTGGCTTTCACACCTACGGCAGGACTAGAACTCCCTGTCTCCTGGTGATTGGCCCAAAGTCACCCAGCTGGCTTTCACGCCTAAGGCAGGACTAGAACTCCCAGTCTCCTGGTGATTGGCCCAAAGTCACCCAGCTGGCTTTCATGCCTAAGGTAGAAACTAGAACTCCCTGTCTCCTGGTGATTGGCCCAAGGTCACCCAGTGGCTTTCGTTCCTAGGCTGGGACTAGAACTCAGGTTCCTGGTTTCTAGGCTAGCGGCAACTTAACCACAAGCACACCAGCACAACTATCTAAGACAGTGTTTGCCAAACTTGACAATTTTAAGGCATGAGGACTTCAACTCCCAGAATTCCACAGCCAGCGTTGCTGGCTGTGGAATTCTGGGAGTTGAAGTCCTCATGCCTTAAAATTGTCAAGTTTGGGAAACACTGATCTAAGAAAAGCCACACCGCTCTCAGCTGCATCACGGCATCCATTTGTGCCCAATGTCATAAATTACGTAATTTCCATCATGGCGTCATAGCCTGGATGACGTCACTTCCTGCCCCGGGAGATGTTCACGTATGCAAGAGCCACGTTTCAGGACACATCAATCTTTGTTATTCATGGACCGGCTAATGGGTGAGCGTGACTCACTCACCACAACATCATGCGGTTTACTTTCCTGGCTGCGGCCCTACGTGGAAGCTCGCCCTCCATTGAATTTATTTCAGATTGATAAAAGTGGCGAGGACTTGCAGCTGACACCAAAAGAGAAGAACTCACAGGAGCCCTGGTGCAGGCCTGGCAACGAGAACGGCTACTTAAGATTCAACGTTTGGAGATCTGTGGAAGGTTCAGGAAAAAGACGGATCCCTTCGGTGCACAACGCTGAGACGGGCAGGAAAATTCCACACACACACACACACACACACACCCATCAATTCAGCATCTCGCTCCAGCAATACTGGCAAATGTTATTTTTTTTTCCTTGCAAACTAATTGATGGACTGTCCAACTCTCTCTGCATAGCTGTTTACTTTTGTGGAAGGGCTGCTGCGAGCCCTCCGGTGGCGCCATTTGTACAACCGACGAACGATGAAGCTCCCTCCGTCTCCTCAAACAAGCCCCCGCTTGTTACGCGTCCCACAATACTCCTGGCGAGAAGAAAAGTAAAGCCGTGCGCAATTCGCAATTGCAACAGGCTTTTTTTTTTCTCCTTGTTTTTTTTTGGTAGCCGAAGTCATCTGCCAGGGAACAAATGGGGTGATAACGGAATAACCGCACATTACTTTACGGGTAATGAGTGGAGAGGTCAAACACATCGAAGATGTACGACCCAGCGCAGCATCTACGCAGAAAAGAGAATCACCGTTTGTGCCCGTCTTGGTGGGAAGGCGGCAAATGGGTATCTGCTCTTCTGGAGCCTCGGCTCTCTGGAGCCTTGGCTTACGATGTCTCTACAATCTGGCCAGGGTGACGGGCAGTGTCCGTCTCGGTCTACCAATCTGTTTCCACCCTGCTTGTGCATGGTGTCTCCAAAATGGCTGCCTTCCTTCTACATCCTTCAACCGGATGGGCAGAATGCCTCCATTTGGGAAATCTTCCATTACTTCTGTGAACCCCACATTTCTCCAATGCAATCATCGGATCCCAGGGCTGGGAGGTCCTCGACTTATATCCATTTGTTTAGTGGTTTGGGGGGAAAGGAGGGGGAGGAGGAGGAGAAAGAGGAGGAAAAGAGCAGTAGAGGAGGAAGACGGGAGGAGAAGATGAGGAGGAGGAGGAGGAAGAGGGGAGGAGAGGAGGAAGAGGAAAAGAGGAGAGGAGGAAGAGAGCAGTGGAGGAGGAAGATTAGAGGAGAAGGAGGGGAGGAAGAAGAGGAGGGGAGAAGATGAGGAGGACAAGGAGCAGAGGAGGAGGAAGAGGAGAAGGAAGAGGAGAGGAGAAGAGGAAGGAGAGGAGGAAAAAGACAAGGAGCAGAAGAGGAGGAGGAAGACGAGAGAAGAGGAAGAGGAAGAAAAGAGCAGAGGAGGAGGAAGAGGAGAGAAGGAAGAGGAAGACGAGAACCAGAGGAGGAGGAGAGGAGGAGGAGGAGGACGAGCAGAGGAGGAGGAAGAGGGGAGGAAAACAGCAGAGGAGGAAGAGGAGAGGAGGAGAAGATGAGGACAAGGAGCAGAGGAGGAAGAAGGGAGGAGAAGAGGAGGAAGAAGAGAAGAGGAAGAGGAGGACAAGGAGCAGAGGAGGAAGAGGGGAGGAGGAGGAGGAGGAAGAGGAGAGAAGAGGACAAGGAGCAGAGGAGGAAGAGGGGAGGAGAGGAGAAGAGGAAGAGAAGGAAAAGAGCAGAGAAGGAGGAAGAGGAGCGGAGGAGGAAGAGGAGAGGAGGACAAGGAGCAGAGGAGGAAGAGGGGAGAAGGAGAAGATGATGAGGAAGAGGAGGACAAGGAGCAGAGGAGGAAGTTGAAGAAGAGGAGTTCCCAATACAAGGGATCAGAATCAACCATTTCAGCGCCGGGACACCAATTACCTGCATCCAATATGCCCTGAGCCAGGATTGCTCCAAATTTAGCCATCACGTCGTCGTGTTTATCGTTGATGACCTTGGAATAAAGTTGCCTAAACTGGCTGACCTGTAAGAGAGAGAGAAATTTTGTTTTTTTAAGTATTCCCCATAGTAACTCCAAGTGAAATGTATACATTGAATGAATGAATATATAAATAAATAAATAGAGCGGCTGCAAAAACAGAACAAACAAATGAACAGGCTCTAGAGCTATAGTCCTCGACTTACAACTGTTTGTTCAGCGACCGACCGAAGTTACAACGGCGCCGAAAAAAGGGACTTACGACCGTTTTTCACACTTGCAGCATCCCTGTGGCCACCCGATCAAAATTCAGACACTCGGCCACCGACTCCTACTTACGACAGTTGCAGTGTCCCCCGGGAGGGGGTCACGTGATCCCCTTTGGTGACCTTCTGACGAGTGAACTCAATGGGGGAGGGGAAGCCAGATTCACTTAACGACCGCATAGCTGCAGGGATTCATTTAACAACCGTGGCCAGAAAGGTCATAAAACGGGGCAAAGCTCCCTTAACCACTGTCTTGCTTAGCTCAACTGTGGTCGTAAGTCGAGGACCGCCTTCACTTTCAAAACCGATCGACAGCCGGCTGCAAGGAATTTGCAAACAAAGGTTCAGGAGAGAGAAAGAGGAAAAAAAATAATCCTCCAAAATGTGTTGATTCGATCACATTTTAACCCACGAATTGGGCAATTCACACCTAAGACGACGACCCTTTGAGGCAGCGAAGTGACCACGAACGCAAACGTGGTGTGTTTGCAAAGAGCCTTAAGCTACAATAGCCTCACATCCGAAGTCGGTAAGCATCAGGCTGTGCATTTTTACAGAAAGACTGCAGGTAGGACTGCAATTCCCTCGGTTACTCCCGACCCTTTATAAATGAAACTGAATTATGGAAGCTGCTAAGATGATCCCTTCCTCTGCGGCGTGATTAGGCTCGCCCTGGGTTAATGAGCAGGGCCCTGTTTCCATAAAAGCCAACGAAGGAACGAGGCAGCCTGGCTTGTTTTGCCGAAGGAGAATGGAATGGCTGAGAAAACTCAGGGCTCAGGGCCTAATTATCCGGCCTCACTGTAAGGAGATTTTTTTTTTCTCCAGCAGGAAATGCTACTCTGATGCCATCTGCACTGGGTCACCTTGTAGGGAAGCTGGGCAGCCAAGAAATGGAATAATAATAAATAAAATAAAATAAAATATAAAAATAATAAACAAAATAAGGTTGAAAAATAAAATAAAAATAATAAACAAAATAAAATAATAAAATAAAATAATAAACTAAACTAAATAGAATAACATAATAAACAAAATAAAATAATAAAATAAAAATAGACAAAATAAAATAAAAAATTATAATATACAATAAAATAATAAACTAAACTAAATAGAATAAAATAATAAAATAAACTAAATAGAATAAAATAATAAAATAAATAAATTAAAATAAAAAATAATAAACAAAATAAAATAATAAAATAAAAATAATAAATAAAATAATAAAATAAATAAAGTTGTTAAGAAGAGACTGGACAGCCATTTGTCTGAAATGGTATAGAGTTTCCTGCCTGAGCAGAGGGTTGGACTAGATGACCTCCAACAACAAAAACAAAAACAACTATCTTCTTCTTCTTCTCCTTCTTCTTCTCCTTCTCCTCCTCCTCCTTCTTCCCTGCTTTGAGCATTTCCGACGGGCAGGTGCCCTGAGGATGAAGAAATCTTCTCGAAAAGAAAGACAGCTTTCACTCAAGTTTTTTTACACACACACACACACACACACACACACACACACACACGGCAGAGCCAAAAATGTCCACGACAAAAGTTTGGTGGTTTTTTTTGTTTTTTTTTTCCAACAAGTAAAGAAATAGAGAACGGCTGTTAGCCATCCGATGAAAGATGAAAACTCCTTGGCTAACAACTGGCCGGGGTGTGTATGTGTGTGTGCGCCACCATCTCATTCCTGCGGTTGTGAGGACTTGTGGGTTCAAGCTGTTTACAAGTCCTTGACAGTTCCTATAAACTTGGAAAATGAAAGGGGGGGGGGAAGGAAACCCCATTAGCCAAAACGAGCCAGGATCTGGTATTCACACAATAAGTAAATCTTCAGAGAAACAGACCCAGGATGAAGCTTGGAGACGTCGCCGCAGATCTGGGAAGGTTCACGTTGGCGTCGCCAGTCTGACAGGCAAGGCCCTCTGTGTAGGACGAGCGGGCAGAGGGAGCATGGGTGGGCCTGTCTCAGGGGTGGCCATTATTTAGTGCCACCGTTTAGGCTGCAGTGACTCATCAGCCTGGTCTTTACTGGGAGGTAGGAGATGCCCTCCTCTCAATTAAACCCCACAATCCCCCGTAACCTCTGAAATAAAACAATTCTGACTTGCTCTGAAGAAGAAGAAGTAGTAGTAGCAGTAGTAATAATAATAATAAAGTTGGAAGGGACCTTGGAGGTCATCAAGTCCAACCCCCTGCTCAGGCAGGAAACCCTGTACCGTTTCAGACAAAGGGCTGTCCAGTCTCTTCTTAAAAACTTCCAGTGTTGGAGCATTCACCGCTTCTGGAGGCAGGCTGTTCCACTAATTAATTGTTCTCAATGTCAGAAAGTTTTTCTTTAGTTCTAGGTTGCTTCCCTCCTGGATGAGTTTCCATCTGTTGCTTCCTGTCCTGACTTCAGGGGCTTTGGAGAATAGCTTGACTCCCTCTTTTTTGGGGCAGCCCCTGAGATACTGGAAGACTGCTATCCTGTCCCCGCTCGTCCTTCTCTTCATTAAACTAGACATAGCCAATTCCTTGTATGTTTTAGCCTCCAGTCCCCTGATCCTCTTTGTTGTTCTTCTCTGCACTCTTTCTAGAGTCTCAACATCTTTACATCGTGGTGACCAAAACTGGATGCAGTATTCCAAGTGTGGCCTCACCAAGGCCTTGTAAAGTGGTATTAACACTTCACCTGATCTTAATTCTCTCCCTCTGTTGATGCAGCCTAGCACTGTGTTGGCTTTTTTGGCAGCCGCAGCACACGGCTGGCTCCTATTTAAGGGATTGTCCACTAGGAAAGTGTCAACTTTCAGAAGGTGTGGGCTCCTTGGGGGTCTCTGAGCTTGGCGGTTTCCTTGCAGACATTTCAGGACCCAAATAGGTCACATCATCAGTCATGAAACATCTGCAAGGAAACCACCAAGCTCAGAGAGCACCAAGGACCCCACGATCCTCGTCCTCCTCCCCTTCTTCTCCTCCCCTCCACAAATCCCTCTCTTTTCAGCCCTGATGATGTAACCTAGTTTGGTAATGCTGGCTGGGGAATTCTGGGAGTTGGAAGTTCTCGAAGTTGAGAAACGCTGTTTTAGGTGGCTACTTCCTGGGGATCCTGAAAAAAGATTGGAATGGGAAACCAATAGAGGATTCCAGAGACGGAGGCTGGACTGATATGTCGAAAATCATCTCAGAAGAAGCAGAGAACAAAGCAAGGTCATCATTCCACCGGGATAGCTTAATAGAGGCGTCATTAACCTCCAGGCTGACTTCAGGCTACGGTCCACAGCAGAAAGCATCAATTGGGTATAGGTTCTCCTGCTTGAGCAGGCTGCGTTTTGCATTCTACTCTACTCTATTCTAATTCTATTCTGTATTTCTATTCTGTTCTGTTCTGTTCTATTTATTCTATTCTATTCTATTCTATTCTATTCTATTCTATTCTATTCTAATTCTATTCTGTATTTCTATTCTATTCTATTCTATTCTATTCTAATTCTATTCTGTATTTCTATTCTATTCCATTCCTTTTCTCTGTTCTATTCTATTCTGTATTTCTATTCTATTCTGTATTTCTATTGTATTCCATTCTTTTTCTCTGTTGTTCTGTTCTGTTCTATTCTAATTCTATTCTATTCTAATTGTATTCTGTATTTCTATTCTATTCTAATTCTACTCTATTCTAATCTAATTCTATTCTGTATTCCTATTCTATTCCATTCCTTTTCTCTGTTCTGTTCTATTCTAATTCTATTCTATTTCTATTCTATTTCTATTCTGTATTTCTATTCCATTCCATTCTTTTTCTCTGTTCTGTTCTGTTCTGTTCTGTTCTATTCTATTCTATTCTATTCTATTCTATTCTATTCTATTCTATTCTATTCTATTCTATTCTATTCTATTCTATTCTATTCTATTCTATTCTATTCTATTCTATTCTTCCATTCTATTCTATTCTATTCCATATTCTATTCTATTCTATTCTATTCTATTCTATTCTATTCTATTCTATTCTATTCTATTCTATTCTATTCTATTCTATTCTATTCTATTCCTATTCTAGTCCAATCTAATTCTATTCTGTATTTCCATTCTATTCTATTCTAATTCCATTCTATTCCATTTTTATTCTATTCTAAAGAGGTGAAGCTTACCCTCATTACACCCAACAGGTTTGTCTCCTAATACATCAAATATGAGATATTTTTATTTTGGAGAGTGAGCTACAACAGACAATTGTGAATAAACTGAAAACCTATTTCGTTCTCCTGCGATTCCAGACATCCTTTGTGGGTAAGAGGGTCTACCTCAAGTTTGAGGTGGGGCAAATCCCAGCTAAAAACGGCCTGGCGTATATTTTTAGACCAAGGATTTAACCAAGAAGGCTTCTGCATCCTCTCCAGGTGTTCTTGGAAGTTTTATGGCCTCCGAAAAGGAATTCACTGAGACATACCCAGGGTGGGCCTGGCTGAGACCAGCCAGAACAAATCAACTCAAAATGAGTTGCACCCATCCTGGCTGATGTCAAAAGCGAAGCAGGATTCAGGCTGGTTGGTTTTTGGATGGCGAGGAGTTTGTGGAAAGGAGGAGAAGGAGGACAACAGACTGTGGGGTCCTGGGTGCTCTCTGAGCTGGGTTGTCTTCTTGCAGACATTGCATGACCCAACTAGGTAACATCATCAGTGCTTCAAGGGAGGGGGATCTGCTGTCTGTTTATATAGATTTCCTTCTAGCACTGATGATGTTACCTAGTTGGGTCATGAAATATCTGAAAAAAAAAAAAAAAACAGCCAAGCTCTGAGAGAG